CTCAACGTTGCTGTCGGATGCGCGTGATCGCGTGCCCAGTACTTTTTTTTTTTTTTCAAAACACTCAGCGCATGATGTTCAGCGATATCTGCAGTGTTTCGCCACAGCTGCCGAAGCGAACTCTGTTCTAACGAGTCCACGTACCTGGACGAGGTTTTGCATTGTAGCGAACCTTTACGGCGCTAAACGTTGAGTACCAATGCAATACAGAAATCTCTGTTCGAACCGGAGTCATACAATCGATTGCGACACCAGACTGTCTGTGAGGTTACAAGCTAACGATCCAAGTTTTTACAGAGCATCTACGGCCATGGGTATCTTAGACGCAGCTGCGGAAGAAAAGGCACGAGCCTTACAAGGCTGCGACGCATCGAGGATGGGTATCCAGGGTATAAGGTATGTGGGTATATTGATGCGTGCATTCGAGTGTCTGAAGAAATCAATGCAAACAGAGGTTAGCGAGGAGGATCAGAGTCCAGAAGCAAAGACTTACGAAGGAAGATGAGCTCCAGACTCATGGGAAGGAAAAGAAACCACTTGGTAAGCATGCGTGTCTAGGTTCTTAGTGGTCGTTGTGTCCACCAGAGTCGGCGTGGAGTCTCTCGGCCTCGATGCACTTCTCGTGCTCGTTTCTCACATGTCGAATCAGCGCGTCCTTTCGCGAATACCCCTTGTCACACATGGAGCATGGGAAGGGTTTTCGGCTTCTATTGGGCCTCAAAGGGCAGGAGTAGGCCATGTGTCGCTTGGTATCGTACCGAATGAGTGACTCGTGTCCGCAGTGAAATTCGCAGGGATACGTCTTAGGACCTGTGTTAGACTCGGAAGAGCACTTGGCTTTCTTCACAGCGCAGGGTCTGTTGGCGCCGGCGTCGTCGGGCGCCTTCCGTTTCTGCTTGCGCAGTGCCTGCTGCGTGGTCTGCTCGACAGTGTCGGTGGTACGCATTGGGAGACGCTCTGACCGCTTGCTCATCGTCTTCGAGCGCGTCTTGGTTCGCGTATGAGCTGACGAGGAAGATAATCGAGGTTTCTTAGTGACTGGTTGGACCGCGGTGGCGACATGGACGTTGTTGCCAGTGGCGTGTGTGTCGACAGCCTTGACGTAGCGACCGTGGTCATTGTTGAAAACACCGCCCATCATGCCTGTGATAAAGGCACTTGGTACGATGTCTTCGTGTTCGGTTGTAATCTGTTTCTGGCCTCCCACAGGAAGGCCAGAAGGGATTAGGCTGGGTACGTGATCTGTACCCGAGCCTAATGGTGACGTGCTAGCCGTCATTGTGCGGCGGTTTGGCACGACGAGCCGTTCGTTCCACATAACGTACCGCCGTGTGGATGGCCCGGAGGGCTCTGTAGGCGGCAGTGGCACAGGAGAGACCGTCCCGCGCGTCGGAGTGCTCGGCACGTGCGCAAGCCCGAGCGCAGAGTTGGGCGTGCCTAATAAATGCGAGATAAGAATTCGGCCTAGCGGTGATGCAGATGGACACTCACCCTCCAGATATGCGAAGATATCTTCGCCTGTGTGGGGATCCTCGCTGAAGATCCTAGGTGGGCTAGTGGATGGGGATGACCTCGACGAGGTCGATGCACGAGAAGACGCTGTGCTGGCGTAGGTCATGGATGGCGTGGGGGAGGTCAGTGGTGCGGTGTAAGTCGACACACTAGACGCAGATGACCATTGACTATCGTTTAGGAACAGCTTCGAGGGGTCGCTCGAAGGACGAAACGCAGCGACGTCGATATAAGGTTGAGGATGCGCCATCTCCTCCGACATCCAGGGCTGGCTGTAGAACTGGCCGGGCGAGGTGACAGATGGCGGCGATGCCATCGGCATGTACATGGGGTACGGCACCCCTGTTGTTGGTAGGAACTGTTTCGGAGTGTTAATGGAGATATTGAACAAGACCTGGGCTGACATACCTGATCCCACTCCTGACAGCTTTGCTCATAGGCGGGGCGAGAGTAGGATAGTTGCGAGAGGGGGAGATTCGGTGGCGTCGGTGGCGAAAGATATGGGAAAGCGGGAGGCGACCCATACAGTTGGGAGTCGTCGAGGTATGCGAAGAGTTGGGAGTTCTGTTGGTAAGACATGGTTGCGCGATGCGTGCTGGATGGTACACAATGTGGGGGGAAATGCTCATGTTGCTCGCTTTATGACCAGGAAAACGAGTTCGTAGGCGCTCGTGAAGCGCTCACGTCGTCGGAGCAAGTGCCTTCCATTATCACGCTTAGGACCCCACGCACAGCCAGATCAGCGATATGTGAGCTTCTTTCGAGTCAAGAAACTCCGACAGCTGATAAATGCAGACAAAATTGGACAGAATAGGCTGGTTGCCATGCAGTGGGCCTGTTATTGTGGCGGCGCGGAGAACAAGACAAGCCGTAAACGGTGTTTCTCTCCCAGGAAACAGCTCTAGGACCCTCTGATTGACCACTGCGCACCTTCCCCTCGTGTCGTGATGCTGTGTTCTGCGTATGCGGCTCAGCTTCTGAGGCCCAAGCTTGCCGATGTCATTACGCGGAGCAGGCATCGCACTGATGCTCGTACCTTTTAACAGACCGCCCATCCCACTGATCCACGCGGAAATAGCTCAGAATTCTGACATGGACCGGCCAGCTTGACCCGCTAGACCCCGCTCGCTCCCAGCACGAGGTGTGTGGTGGCACTGCTTAGGCCTGCGTCCGGTCTGCTGGCGTGCAAGTGCCGACTAGATTGACCGAGGGTCCTCACTGCCTGCGTCGTTCAAGGGTGCATACAGATTTGGATAGGTGGGTTGCTCTGCTTGTCACGTTCTCCCCGAGATGCAGTCGCTTAGCCGAGGGCTTCAGCCCAACTTGATCGAAGGCACTGGTACCCTTGCAGGAGGAGTAGCATGTAAACTGAATACACGTCTTCTGTGTCTGTTGTCATTCTGGATCCGATATGCTGAGAGATACAACGCTCTGGCCGCGTTTGTTCGCAACTCAGACAAGGCTTGGGTTGTCTGCCGCTCCCCGCGAAAGTCGTGCTACTATAGTGGCCGCTCGCATCGAGGAACGCTCTGGCTGCTTGCCTATCGTCCTCGAGCACGTTTTGGCGCACATGGGACCTGATGGGCAAGATGCAGGAGCTTTCCTAGTCTGGTGGCAACGTGATTGATGTTGCTCATGGTGCGCGCATCGAGGACCTCGATATAGCGACCATGGTGGTAGTGGTTGAGATTCGCACTAGGGACTCGGGTACACCCCTATTCGGATTCATTCAAAACCAGGGGGCGACAGCTATCTTTCGGAGCGGCGAGTTAGCGTGCCTGACGGTTGTCGACTTCTCACGTCTGGGTAGATTTGACACAATCTGACGACCCATGCAATTGCACGTCGGTCGCTAACGTGGAAATCCTGCGACATCAAGAGGCATTCTCGGTCTTGTGTACACAATTTGTATCAAAGACAACTTCATGGACCAGATTTACTACATCTGTCGAGACGTCACATCATGAAGGAGACTAGTCAGAGACTTTCACCACCCTACAACGACATGTCAAATCAGACTGCGCTATGTGAGATGAAGTGCGACACATACAATTTACCCTCGTTCTCTCCGCGGAAGAGTATTCCAATTGCTCCTGGTGCGGTATCCAAGCCGTTAACAACGTGGTATCGCTGTTTGATAGCTCCCTTCGTAACGAGCTCAGTGAGGTACTTGCGGCCTTCCTCAAGGCGAGCAGTATAGTCATATCTGGCATGGGTGTAAGTTGTCGGACGCGTGAGCAGACGATAGAACAACTCACAAGCTGAATCCCCGCATCGTAGCGCGTTTGCTTAGTAATTGGAAATAGTTCCGCAGGGGATACTGCTCTGCCGTATCTAAGCCAGCTTCATGAGATGTATCTCTAGACGCAAAGTTACATAGACTCACTGTACTGGGAGATGCCTCCTGTAGGACACGAACATCGCGTCAGCCAAAGCGCATTAGACTTATGTCGAGTATCGTACCGCAAATAATGATGCGGGCATGCAAGTTCATGCTCGCCAACGCCAGGTCAAGAGCTTCGCCGCCTACGTTGTCATAGAATACGTCTAGCGTCCCTACCGCCTTAGAGAAGTCATCCTTGAACGTGGGACTCTTGTAATTGAGCGCCTTGTCAATGCCCAGCTCTTGCTCGAGCCATTCACACTTCTTCGTGGACCCGGATATGCCAATCACCTTCGCCCCACGCTCTTTGCCAAGTTGACATACGATGGAGCCAGTAGCACCTGCGGCGCCGGATACAACCAGGGTCTCCCCGGCCTTAATCTGGGCAATATCAATGAGACCCTATGCATGTTCTTGTCAGCACAGGACTGGGTGATGCGATGCTTTGTGCGGCGTACAAAGTAAGCCGTGAGACCTACGAGAAACTATCAGATGAAACTTCAGTCTACAAGGGTGAACATCGCGTACCAATATGTCCCAGAGGTCCAATATAATCAAGGGCCTGCGTGTTTGGAGGGAGTCTGACAGAGAAGTGAGGCCATAAGTCATGCAAATTGAACATGATAACGGTTTATGTATATGTACGTACTCGAGCTTCTGGACAGCAGTCGCATCCTGGATTGCATATTCCGTCATGCCTATTTACATAGATGAGCCAAGTACTAATGACTCGAACATGGACGAGATTGACTGACCGAAGATCCCGCTCACCAAATCTCCAGGAACAAGGGAGGTATCCTCTCCGGACGCAACCACAGCTCCGATCCCGATGGCTTGCATGACGCCCCCGATTGGAACTGGAGTCCGGTAGCTTTTCTTCTCGCTGAGCCACAAGCGCATAGCAGGATCAATAGAGAGATATTGCACCCGGATCAGGACCTGGCCTTTTTGAGGCTTGAGATCGAAAGGCACAACTTCTTTACGAAAGTTGTCCGCCTCGATGAAGGCGGAATCAGCAGGCCTTGAAGCAAGTACAATTCGAGTGTAGTGTGATGGTGACATGGCGTAACGAATTGGCTCAGATAGAGCTGCTGCATGGGTATTTATATCTACGGAGCAATGCCATCAGTAAGCATAGTCTATCGAAGCGCCTATGCATCACAAGAGCATGCCGGACCCATGCGTCATGGACAAGCCGACGACACGCAACGCTTATTCATGTGGGAATGTGAACGTCAAAGTACTGTGGAGAAGCGTAATGTTCATGATCTCGTTAGGGTGACCCCAAAGTCTGATACATACCCTCCTATTTACGATTAGCGGAAGAAACATACTCGTAGATTCCTTTTCCAAAGGTGATTGAACCATACATCAGTCAGAGATCCATCCTTGGTAGTCTTCACGTAGTATCAGCTTGAGACTGGAAGAGTTGAATCGTAATCAACGATGCACCCCGCATCATCTAGTGCCGTGACGCTGTCCAACGATCGTAAGCCACGGGCGCTCTTGAGCCCTCACGCGTAAATCATGTGGATGACGCGGGTGGACTCTGTGCGACTCGCGGAACTCATTCTCCAATATTTCTGCACTGTTATTTTCTCCGTACTAGATAGGCCCGCCGCGCGGTAGAGTAGGTCGTACTTAGTGGGCGCTGCACGCGGTTACCAGCGCCCATCAGGCGATGTAAGATGAGCCGATCAAGCATATCCTTTTTGGGAGAAACAATACCGCGAAAATAAATAAAAGGCGGGTCGGCCAGCTCAGAGTCTTTCACAAACTTCCATGTCGCTGGATGCGACCGCGACAGGGCGAAAGCCGCGATGCTCACACCACACAGGCCGCTTCGCGCAGCATTCTCTGTGAGCGGGCTAAGGTCTGAGAATTCTAGTCTCCCTCGATGAGCTCTAGCTGGGCTCGGTCTTGACGGACCACAGCGGCGTACCAGACAACAACCGAAGACTGCATCGACGAGCTGGCGCTCACGCTCACACGGAGTCACTCGTCGATCCTGAAGACTCTAGTATAGACGAGGGAGCAGTGGATCACGCTGACAAGTGTGGGGGGTTTGGAATCGTCGCGGGGACTGGGCGGGTTGCTCTGCGGAGTGGTGTGTGGTCGTCTCCATTGTTGTGTCCAGTCTCATGTGCTCCTCTTCGGAGGGCACATGCTGTCGACAATCGCACACGTAGCGCTATGCGCGATGTGTGTGGAGCCTCGTATGAGGTTTGGACAAGGTGGATGATGGCTGCATGCGTTGCCTGTCCTTTAGTTCACTTTGCGGCTCGCTGCTATGACGTCTGTCGCCTGCGAAACTCGATTCAGACTACTCTTGTTCTGTCGCGATGTCGTCCGAGCATTGGGTTAATTTTTTGCCATCTTGCTCTTCGTGAGCAGCTTCATCTGTAGCAGAAGCTATGTGGTGGTCCAGTTGCGCCATGTACGTACATATAATGACATTCTGCGAGACTTGCGCAGCACACGAAATCCTTGAATTTGTTGGCTTGCGCAGGCACTGGAAGTTAAGTATAAGAGCGCCAAGTCCTAGGGTCTGGATGCGTCTGCGTGGTTGTGCTTTGTGTTCATCGTGATATAGCATGATGGCGCGAGACTTGGTAAGTTCTATACTAGACGCAATGATGTACAGCATGCCTGCATTCCGCAAAATGTATATATGCACCTTCGCAGCAATTTCAAATAGCGCTGCCAACTGTGTATAAGACGCGCACCTATATCGACGGCGCCCGATTGAGTGTACCATCGACTGCCAACTGTTCTGCGTAATAGGTCATGTCATGCCTGCGCAACGAAGAGAGCAAGATCTAGTCGGCGCGGCCAAAACCTGCCGTTTGCTATATGGACAACATATACAACCGGGCGGGTATAGCCTTGCAGGTGTATGTCAATAAGAGACGACCGTCGACAACTTCCGATGAGACAAGGAAGGTCGGTCAAATTCAATTTGACTACATCGAATTCGAGTGTGAATTTGATTTACCGGAGGCACACATCACTGCTAAATCTGGGACGATATATAGAGAGGTACGACGATATATAGATACTAAATATCTCATGATCACTCGGTCCTAGTGCTGCGCTAATGCAAAATTTATTGGATAGTTGGTATTGAGACAGTTTGCGGCACATTGAGGACTATTCGCGTTCCTTCACGGTATGATGACGGCACGGAAGCGCGCCGTGCTGCGGTGGTTGTACGCCTCTTCAGCCTTCTCGAGCGGGAACTTCTGCACCATCGTCCTGATGCCGTGCACCTTCGCGAACTTGACGCAGTCCTCGCTGTCCGGCGCGACGCCGTTCGGCCAGCCGCGGATCGACCACCGCTTCGTGACGAGTGCGCCGAGGTTTATCGGGGCCTCGCCTGCAAGCGCGACGATGCACAGCTCACCGCCGACGGCAAGCCCCGGGAGCAGGGTACGGATGACGTCCGCGTTCGGCGCGGTGCACATGATGAGCTTCGTCCCGCCGAGCTCCTGCAGGGCTTCCGCCTGGTCGACCTTGGAGCCGTCAACGTACACCTCAGCGCCGAGCTTCCTCGAGAGGTCTTCCTTCGCGGACGAGGAAGAGAGGGCGATGGGGCGGTAGCCCATAGCCTTGGCGAACTGAATGCCTAGGTGGCCGAGACCGCTATGAGAAGAATTAGCGGCCTGGGCAAAGAAGGGGGAAAACATGGACGCACCCAATGCCCTGGATCGCGACGTAGTCCGGCGGCCTGGCGGACATGTTGCGCAAGCCGTCTAAAAATATAAGTAAGCACAGTAGCCTCATGAGTACGTCCTCGATACGTACTGAACATGGTGACACCTGCGCAGAAAAGAGGTGCGACTTCGGCAGGGTCCATGCCATCGGGCACCGCACAGGCAGCCTCCGTCCTGAGCGTCACGTACTGAGCGTACCCTCCGTGACGCAGAATTCCTCATGGCGGAGTGTCAGCAACCGATATGCAGGAAGCCGGTAACGGTCTCACCGTTGACGTCTTGCTTTTCGCACATCATGTAATCGCCAACACGGCAGGTGGCACAGAGGTGGCAGTGACCGCCATGCCAGCCGCTGCCGACGACCTGGCCTAGCTTCCACTTCGACTCGGTAGACGGGATAGCCGCGACTTCGCCGACGATCTCATGACCGGGAACGATAGGGTATTTCACCCCAGGCCATCCCTGGTGCTTCGCAGCCTCGTCACTGCAGATACTTGTGTTAGTATGTGGGCACTAAACTTGGCGTGCGGCTGATGTACCTGGCGCACACACCACACGCAAGGACCTTCACGACGATCTCCCCAGGCTGTGGGTCCTTCCAGTCGAAGGTAATGGGCTCAAGTGGACCACCTTTCTTGGTGAATCCATAGGCAGAGTAGGTCTTAGGATGAGGGACGCTAGACATGGCGGGTGTGGGGAGAATGTGGAAGTAGAAGATAAGGAGGGAAAGTTGGTTTGAGTTTGAGTTCGGCCTGCTTAAGAGCCTCAGGAATACCCGCTCGATCCTCCATCCCTGGTGGCTAGGAATCTATTACACAGAACGATTGCAAAGCCATCCGGCCATGGATGTGCGGTCAATGACCGTGGTCAATAGTCAGTCATGACTCCGAGGTAAGCCCGGGGTCCTCGGGCACAGTGGTGGTCAATCCTCTGTAGATTGGGGTCGTCAAGCTTGTAGTGAAATTTCTCCATGACTGCTACTTTAAGGTCGCATTCTTCATAGGTGCGCTGGAGACATGGGAGAGGTTCAGCAGTGAATTCGCAGAGAATAGTCCAATCAGCCAGCTTTTGGATTCCGAGCGCACAGACATCCAATGATCATAACGAGGGGGCACTCGGGACGCTCCGCGTTGGTAAGCGACATGCTCCAAACACGACGTTACACCAGCACAATGCAAAGACGGTTTGCGGGATCAACGAGACAGAGAAATGGATTGAACATACCTTGGATAGCGCTGACCATGCCTTTTTTCGCAAGAGAGCGCGGTTGGTTGACGCGAGTGGCCTCGAGGGTCGGCAGCGACAGGTTATAGACTCAAACGACTCAGGGGATGACAGCGATGGAGTTTGATGGCCAGTTCAGTAATCACGAATATAACGAAGTGTCTATAGCTGTATAATTTGGTACCGTCTTGTATATACCTATAGATGGGAGGACGTACATGATCGAGCTAGGACGCGGCGCGCTGCAAAGGAGGGGTTTGCCCGTCCCCATTACTTATTCGGAATAAGTATGATAGTCGCGGATGAGATGCGAATCGACAGCACGTGATCGCCATCGGGGTGACTTTGGGATCCAGTATTCTAACGGTTCCTTCCTCGGGATGGACACTCCTGTATTTCTCTTCTATTACAGTTCTCCCTTCACTTTAACGGCAGCAATTGGTGCAGCCGCTAATAATACTGCCTGGTACTGCCTATACTCGAGAGTTGGCATTACCAAGATCATTTAAGCTGTCGCTGCATACAGCCTAAGCCAGCGCACTCATGAGAACGATCGAGGTGCGCGTAGTCCGAGTTTGCAACATGATGGCGGCTCGAACCTCGACGTAGTCCGCACGCGAACCTGTATATGCAGCCTCAGGGCACGCGATTCCGGGCAACATGTCGCGCAAGAGCAGCCTACCCTCAATCTTCTCCCGAATTCAAGCATTGCACCTCTGGCGCAAGGTTTGAACGAATACGCATTTTCAAGTACTTCGCGAAACCTATTCGGGCCAAGGGTAGCAGGGCTGCCTCACTGTCTGAGCATTGGTCCTTCATCGCTTGTACTGTGGATAGGCCGCTTGCCCCAGAGCCCAACTCGCCCAAGGAAGGAAAATACATCGGCTGCATTGACAACAAAGCTCGACCCTGACAAATTTACGCTAGATGACACTGTCTGGGACACCCAGCAATAACTGATATAAATAGAACGGCAACGCCTCGAAAGTCCTTTCGAATATTCGGGGGGGGG